GCTGCATTCTGGACAAGCTGGAGTCGCCGAATGCTCTTCAAGGGCTGCCCCATGTAGAGCACGTTGCAGTAGTCCAGTCCTTTGCTGGATATGGCATTGCAAAGGATGAGGAAGATGCTTCTGTGCTCCCTTCAGAAGGAAAGTTGGTCCTTGTTTCTTACATCAATGTTGGGTTCCTACCCCACCGGAAGGGGCAGTGCATAACATGGGTTGGGGAGGGGGAGACGCAAGAGGCAAGAGGGGGAAAAAGCAACCTTTTCCCCCTGCCCTGCAGAAGCCCCTCACTGTGTCTCTCCTAGCAGATGTTTTTCTCACCCTCCGTCTCTTCTCCCTGTCTCAACACCTGGTGCTGCAGCTTGCACCTCCTTCCTTAATATAGACTATGTGATAACACTTAGAAGGTGGGGGGGGGAGGAGGAAAGCAGAGGTGACACTTCTTCCCCCCAAGCAATGGTGCAGGGATTAATTGGTCACGTGTTGTCTGCCCAGCTCTTCAGCGGCAGCCCTCGGGTGTAGTAGACATATGGTGGGGGGGGGGGGGAAGAAGCAGGATGCGTGCAAAAAAGTGAGAAGTGCTTATGCCTCCCATCCTCAGCCGAAGCGTTTCCACTTTGTGTGCAAGCTGTGGGCTGTTAGGGTAAGGTTTTCGCATTAATTTTAACTCTCCTTTCCTAACCCAAGACCAGATCTCATTTCATCCAGGATGATCTCACTGATATTGTCCCTTTATTGGGATGGGGTGGGGCGGAGGATTAGGATTACTTGCATGCTGCCCTTCCCCGCCCCATCCTGCTTGCGAATGTACGGTTGCTGTCATCCTTTCTCCAGGCAGGCGCCTGAGTCCCCAGATCCCTAAGCAACCTTGGTTCCTTCTAATGTTAACAAGCCTCCAGGGCCCCCGAGCGGAAGCAGCAGGTCTTCATTACAGTCCCCAGGCTGACTTCCTCCCTCCTCCCCTGGTGGGTGCACTCTCACATGCTTAAATTACCGAGCTTTGCTTTTATTGCCCCCTCCCTTTTGATCTCAGTTCTGCCAACTTTCCCACACAAGATGTCTTTCCTATGCCTGGATTTACCGTATTTTTCAGAGTATTAGACGCACCTCTTTCCCTCCCCTAAAAGAGCGTGGAAATATTGGTGCATCTTATATACCAAACACAGCCTCCCGAAGCCCCGCATCCCATGTTTGCGG